TTAACCATTCGGCTCGGGCATGAGGGTCTTGAGAAATATTATGCCATTTACGACTTGTAACTAAAAGGTTGATGGGATTTGGTATACATTTGAATATTTCAATGCTTAATTCGTCATACATTGACTGCATACTAAAATCTTATATACAGGTACGCTTGGCAAAAGATTATATAAATATATAAGTAGAATGTTTATTGTAAAAATATAAATAGACTTAACTTGGCCTAAAATAAAAATTTTTTGCTCTTGATGGAGAAGCCACAAAAACCGAGATAAAAATGATTCCTTTTTTGTAGGTTCCAAAGTAATTGTATTTATTAATCTTGGCTTTTATATATAAAAGCAAAAGATTATATAAAAATAAACTTAAATGGTTTTAGAAGAAAAAAAGCAAAATATAACAAATATATAAATAGACTTAACTGGTTGTTAGAAGAAAATCTTTTTATTTAGAGAGTATTTTTGTGTAAAAAATAATAATAATAAAAAAAAAAAAAAAAAAAAAAAAAAAAAGAACAAAGAAATATATGTACAGTGGGGGGACAAAGACACCAAGTAGCTTAAAATAGAAATGAGCATCAAAAACAATCAAACTTTTTTTTTTATTAATAACGTTTACTTTTTTATAGTAAGTAAAATAGTACATTATAATAAAATCATTATAAAATATATGGGACCTTTGTAGAAAGAGGGGAAACAGCCGGAAAAAATCGATTTTACATTTATATGGAGCCCGTCTAAAGCGGAGTTGTTTTGGCCGGAATTATGGCATTAAGAAATTAATTAGTGACCACGAGTCTGTATTTTTATTGGTCAATTTTATATACCGAATAGTTCGGTATAAAACCTATACCGAACCAAATCTTCTGGAACGGCAGGTTCGTTATATCCAGAGTCGACTGCAACTAAATTTATAAATAGAAATACTGTATATATATTTTTTAATATACCAAACATCCGCTCTTAATTGATCTAGTTTTTTTAGTTACCGAATGTATTTGCTTTGACATCTTCGGTTTCAATATTAGGGCCAAAGAGTGCTGTGAAACCTTTATTATTAATCCTTTCTTTAAATTTTATTTTTGATGATATGTAAGAAACCTTAAATTTAAATTTTTGTAGAATAATCACGATTATTTAGTAACATCTTTCGTAAATTTGGTGAATCATTACGATGATGAAAATTATTTGGAGTGGGATATTTTAAAAAAAAATGTCAAAAAAAAAAAAAATATTATTATTACGGTTTAGATTATTTTCTTTTTTTCCTGCTCGTTTACAAGTTTGAATTCTGATAACCCGATTAAATTCATGTAACTGCAAAAAAAAAAAGAAGAGATGGTAAAAAATTTTATGCTTGCGGAGCTCAAGATATTTACATTTCCTTTGAGAGAAAAATACGAAGAGAAGCTAGGCTGATGCGAGCAGCTAATTGTATTTATTTAAACAAATGGCGTTCATCATCAAAAGGTGATAGATATATTTATTACATGAATTTTTTTTTTTTTTTTTTTTTTTAAAAAAAACCAAAAAAGGTCTTACTGAAAAGTGATACAATTTTCCGTGTGACATAAAGGGCGCGAAACATCTGTTCCTTTGAAAACCATTACGGAATAATATAACTTATTTATAATCTGCGCATCATTTCAACTAAAAAAAGTTATTAATTAAAACTTGGATTCTTGTTTTCAGACAGTCCCAATAAAATTGTATATTATATAGTTAAATTCCCGAATAGCTCATTTCTCAGTTATCGCGAAATCGCAAGTAGCAGAAAACTTTCCAAATTTATAACCACCGAAAAAATACTACAGTTTGTGAATTTCCCCCCTGCATGTTTTTAATGTTTAATCATTTTCTCGGTAAGACAAAAAAATATTATAATAGCTTTTTTATTTGTTGAGCATTCGGAAACATGCAACAAATTTTAAAATAAAAATGGGTTCTAACCATTCTAACTACTTTCAAAAAAAAAAAAAAAAAAAAAAAAAAGGTTTACCTTTAACCAATTCTTTTTTGTTAATCTTTAACTAATGAACGTCGGTACATTAATAATAGGGAAGAATCTCGTAAAACATCACGATCCTTTATTGCAATCCATTGGGTTCCAAGATCAAGGTTTTGAAGATATCCTGATAAATTTAGATTCATCAATAATAGACGCTTTCATAATGTCTCTTCAAAATATACATACCCTAATGATGAAATAGAAATTAATAGATTGGAAATATCTCATCTTTTGTTAAAAGTGCATATGGTGGTAATTTCTCTATGACAAATTAAGGGATGGAATTTCCGTATTAGATGTTGGGTAAGCATATATATATATATATATCATTTAATAATTAATTCAACGAAGTAAAAAAAAAAGATTCAAAATTTATTAGATGTGGAGCAGGGCACAGGGCAGTACATTTATTGGATTAGATATGTCTCCAATTTTTCCGACAGAAAACAAACCAAAGAATGCCGGATTTATCGAATGCTATGTGCTTGAAGGACTTCCCTTCCCGTCAAAATCTTTCGATTCTGTACATCAAAAATTACTATACGTTGCTTTCTCTGCAAAGCAATGGTTACAAGTGGTAAAAGGTAAAAAAAATTTTTTTTTTAGAGGCAAGGTTTATTACGTTATAATATATAAATTAAGAATTTTCGTTACAAAGAATTGTTAGGTTTTGAAACCTTCCGGATATGCAGAATTTATGGAAATAGAGACCTATTGGAAAAAGAATTAACGAGAAATGTAAGCACAATTTGCCTAAGTTCAAATCAATTTAACGTTTTAAAGTATTTTTGACCCTTTATTTTTTTATATATTTTATATGGTCAATATTTTAAATCAAAAGACATATTCGTTAAGATTAAAAGATATTATGGATTCAACAAAAAGTTTTGATAAAGTCGTATTTTTGCTGCTGGGAAAATTTTGGTGATTGGTAAGAAAAATCTTGATTAAATTTAAGCTTTTTTTTTTTTGTTATATATACCTTAGCATGACCAGAAGCTAGTTTAGCATTGATGTTTATATGAACATGATAAATTATTTAAAACTTTTTTCGAAGAATCGAGGTATATAAGTCAAGACTTGCGTTTTACGCGCAAAAGCTTCAACCTTTTATTATTGCGGAATAGTTTACAAATAATAAGCATAAATAAAGTTACGTCATGACCATCCAAGCAAATTTTTAATAGAACAACACCAAATTATACATTCAAAGTTATATA